TAAATTTTAATCTCATTTATCATTATTCTATAATAATACCTTATGCACAAAATTCTTACCATACAAAAATAATAATCAGAAAGCAATTTTGAATTGTCTCCCTCAACCTGAACAAACGAGCTTGGGGCATGCAAAATACAAAATAATAGAAAAGCTCATTTTACCTGTCATCACAATTAATATTGTTTTATAAAAATTCACATTTTAAATATCTATAATCCTTAGATAGAACACATAATAAAAAACTTCCTCTCCCATACATATATCTAAACTAGCGTTTTGAAAATCATATTAATATTATTTTATTCAACTCTTTTTAAAAAAAAAAAAAAAAAAACCTTGAATTGAAATTTTTTTTTTAATGTAAGTCATTCTTTATCCAACAACCTTGAAGGAAGAAATTAGGCATGTCAGGCAGTACAAATTTCAAAAGGCCAAAAACAAATTTTAAAAGGTAAAAAAAAAAAAGAAAAAAGGAAAAAAAAGTTGTTCCTCTATTTCAGATCAAGTTCTAATAAATTAAAATTCATTTTTATTCTATTTAAAAAAATTATTAAAAATAACATTTATTAATAAGCCAGGATTGCTAACAAGTCCGCGAATGAAGAGTGATGTGAGTGTGTGGGTTAGCTGCTGTGTAGTTAAAAATCGTGTCCCAACAAAAACTGAATTTGTTGAGAAGAGAAGGGGCTTAATAAAGACTCTGCAGGAAACGAGATGTGCCATGTGTGGAATATATGAGGAAAATTCTGATCATCTTTCTGTTCTTCTGTGCGCGAGGTCTCATGGAAAGTTTGGACATCCTGTTATGAATTGTGGGTATATGCTCAGTTTCACACCATGATGGATGGGACCATTTAATACAGCACATTGGTTTATTTGCAAGGAAGAGGTATCTTAAAAATGCTTGGAAAGGAATATGGTTCTTTGTGTTATGGTCCTCTATGGCTATGGCGAAATACGATATTCAAAGCAGAGGTGGAATCACATAACAAGGTACTGGCTCAATCTTATTTAATTGTACTATTTTCTTTTTAAATTGGAGTGTTTTTCTTTAGTTTTCTTATTCTATGTTTATAAAAAAATTATTAAATGATCATTTTTTAAATTTACGCCTATTATTCTAAGCTATTGATAATAGGAGAAAGCATTTCCTAGGGAGAAATATTGCATTTCAAACAATAAACTACTCCCTCGTATCTTTTTTAATTGTCTTAATGTCTCAACTCTATATAAATTAACTTGATTATTTTATATAATAAACAAATGATAATTATAATTTTTTTATCTAAATAAAAATACTCAATAAAAATTATGTATAAAAAAATAATTATCATCTATTTATTATAAAAAATTATCTTATTTAACTTTATCCAAAAATCAAACTGAGATAACTAAATCTAACCGAAGGAAGTACAAGATAAATGTTAGGTACAAATTAATTTCAGCATACTCATAAGAAGACTAACCATATAAGGGTACAAATTAATTTCAGTGTACTCCTAATAAGGATGATGATATAAGAATAAATTTTTTATATAATTTATTTATACAACTTTTATATATTATTAAATAAATAAATCAAACAATATCATTGGTTCCATTAGAATGAAAAAAACTAATAATTAAATAACATATAAAGTTATATAAAAATGTTGTACAAAAAAAAATTAACTTTCAATCATATTTTACCTCATAATAATTATAATATAATTCTAATAGAGATCATTGTTTTACAATTTGTATCGTAAGACATAGACTTTTAAATAAAGGAGGACCCCAATAAGAAAGGGCTTTTCTCCATCTAAAAATTTGTATTTTACAATTTCAGACACTTTTTCTATCCTAATATAGAGATTATTTCCTTATCTACTTATCTGGATCACCTATCCCATGAGTTGCATGTGTGTTCATGTTTGCTTAACGTTTTACCTTCAACAAATTAGTGTAAGAGCTTCCAATTCTTGTGAGTTCTAAGAAGATAATGGAGAATCATAGTGACCACAAAATCAAGACTTTGAGACCAGATAATACTTCTAGACAAGAAGATTTTTTTTTTTTTTGGATAATGTGAGTGTCTCTAGATTAGTTTTTTGCATATCTCAAGATCAATATTTCTTCAAAAGATTTTAAGGGTGTATCATCTCATAGGTTTAATATAATCAAAGAAATTAATTTTTTTTAAATGTGAACACCAAAACTTAAAATTCTGAACTTGACTTAGAAGACAACATTTGCTTAATTTTTGGAATTTTTGGAAAAGAAGATGTTAAGTGCTAATAATTGTTCTCTAACAGATATGAAACAGATTAATAGAGACAGTTTGATCTGAGGATATATAAGAACAAAAGAGATTACAAAGGGGGTTTGTCATCTTGATAGCTTAGACCTTTTAGCGTCAGTTATGGTGGAAAAGCAATTTTGTTTCACACACTACTTTCATCAATTTTGAACTCTTAATTCGCACCACTTGTTTCAATCATAGAAACTCAAATATTACCTTAGCAAGTTTGGCATGAAGATTTTTAGGAGAAGGAATTGCTTGAAACCCTTGTCCGTATAATTTGGTTGGGATTTTGCTTCGTACACATTATTGTAAACGAAATGTTCCTTGAAGGTGAAGATAAGGATTTGAATATTACATTACATGTTGAAACCTTGCTATGCTGATTCCCTTCTCAACAATGATAATGGAAGAGGCCCATCTATGATGTGTTGAAGTTAGTGGGATTACCTTTGTAATGTTGGTCAATGTCTTGAGGCATAGCCATTCATTAATCTAATTCTTGCTTCATGGTATCATGAAATGGTTGAACTTGTGTACTCTTAAGCTTCTTTTTTTTCTTTTTTTGGTTAAATTTTCAAGAAAAAGGTCCATTGCATTCATGCTACCCTATAGAGCCCACATCAACAAGATGAAACGGTAGCTTTCATCTCGTTTCCCAGTTCTCCATCTCTTTCCTCAGAAGAAGAATTCATGCCTATAAACTCCAATTCACCTACATTCTATATATATATATATATATATATATATATTTGGATAGAAACCTACATTCAATTTATTCATCATAAAACCGAGACTAATCAACCTGTTCACATCTTTCTACAGTCGCTTTCGTTTGCTAAATTATATCTAAACCACCACAATCGACCCATAAACAATCATAGAATCATGAAATGAGACTAAGTTAAACAAAGGCTCCAAATTCAGTAAACACAAAATCTGTAACATGGGAGAATGGGACTGAACGGTGACTTCACTAAGAAGTCCAAGCTCAGTCATGCCCCAAATGTTCAAGCAAAACAAAGAGGAAAATAGCTGGATAGAAGAAGCAAATCTAATGCTCCTCTTTAATCTACAAATTTTGGGTACAATAACTCCAGAAACCAACTATTCACAATGGCAGTATGAAATACAGTAGCAAAGACAGTTGAAGAGGGCCAGGAGCTCAATAATATGAGCTCAAAGTGATTTCTATTGGAGTGGGGAGTGGCCAAAACGACGATGTAAAGGTAAACATTTTTTTGTTTTAGAAGTTTTGTACCGATGGTGAATTGCAGTAATTAATCTCACTGATCAGAAGCTCGGGTCTCCGGCCTCCGGCGAGCCTTCAACTCTTGAATCAAAGCTTCGGCATTCTTATACGAGGACCCACCATCTTCCACCGCTTGCTTTGCCTTTTCAGCTAGTTCTTTCGCTTTTCTCCTTATCTCTGCTGCCTCTTCACTTTCTTCCATCAGCCTCCTCACCGCCGCCTCCACCTTCTCTCTCCCAACTGCCTCACCCGGTATCGTGTCCCGTGGCTCTCTCCACTTCATGCTCCCCACTTTGATTCCAATCTTCAACACATCCGCGATCAGTTTCTCATTTGAAAATTGCTCTGCCGACAGTGGCCAAGTAATCATTGGAACCCCAGCACTCACCCCCTCCAGTGTCGAGTTCCATCCGCAGTGGGTCAAGAACCCTCCCACCGCACTGTGCTCTAGAATCAATAACTGCGGCGCCCATCCCCGTATTATTATTCCTATCTTTGATTCCTCCATTCTCTCTTCAAATCCACTCGGGAGCCAATTTTCCTCGTTTTCCCCCTCCGATTTGAAGCTTTTTCCGACCACCCAAATGAACGAGTGGCCGGAAGCCTCGAGAGCGTATGCGATCTCGAGTAGCTGTTCTGGAGGTAACCAACCTACGCTCCCGAAACTGATGTAAAGTACTGAATGGGGTTCTTTGGAATCAAGCCATTCGAGAATGCTCTGCTCGTCGATGGAGACCTTTTGCCCTCTTTCAACTTTGTCGGCGACGTCTCTGTTGCATAACGACACCGGTCCAACGAGCCACGCCTTGTTCCCCAATTCCTTCATATACTCCGCATAAGCCGATTCCAATTCATAGAAACTATTCACCACAGACCCGAAATATCTCTTGTCGAATCTATGCATCGCCTTTTGACCTCCGTCGTTGATTAGGAAAATGGGAAGCTGAGATCTGGTGAATTCAATCCGATCGGGAAGATCCGGGACAACAAAAGGCTCGTAATCCGAACTCACCTTCTCATACGGTTGGAACTTGAACAAATTTTGCTGAACGCAATCAGAAAAGCAGCCGAAGCCGCTGAACACGATTCTCGGAATCCCAATTCCAAGGCTGTCAATAGCATCTGCCGCCCATAAGTGGGCAAAGTCGTGGACGATGCAGTCAGGTCTGGCTTGGAAAAGTAAGTTCTTCAGAGGTTCTTGGAACATGGAGGTGTCTGTCATGATTGTTGCAGACAGGTTGGTATCCACAATGTCGACACCTTCTGGTAGCTGGAGGGTCTGGATGGAGATTGGACGGCCAGATTGTTGGTCGCGGAGGATGGAATTTTGGAAGGAGAGGGCGTGCTTTGGAGTGGTGATGATGGTGGAGATGGCACCGTGGGCGGCAAACATTCTGGCCATGTCTATTAGGGGAAGCTGGTGGCCACCTCCTACGAAGGGAAAGAAAAACATCTCCACAGGAGAGGATTTGGAATCCATAATGGACACAGAAATTGAGAGACAGACACTAATTCTTTGAGTCTCAAGAGAACCCAGTTGGATCTAGATATAACTGGACTCGGCATGGGTACAGTATGTCGAAGAAGAACCAGAATATAAGAGCACATTAGGAACACAAGATTGGATAGGATTGGATATGATAGCAACAATGAGATTTGATTGAATTAGAGAAGATTAGACTATTTAATAATTTTATCACATATTTGGTGAGAGAATTAGATATAAAAATATATATATTTATTGACAAAAATATATTTTTAGTGTAATTTGATACTAATATTTTTGTTTTTTTCAAATTTTTTGTGAATTTAAAGATTTTTTTACTTGTTGATTAAAGATATAATTAATAATTAATTTATACTTATTTAAACAAAAATATGCTTTATTACTACTAAAATTTGTTTTGATTTATTAGGAAAATGAAATTAACTTCATTAATTAGTTTAACTTTTTCAATTTTGTCCACTCTGCGCCGTTCGGATGCAGAGTGCCAGTTGGATGTAGAGAAGAGGGATCCCATTATTCGATGTGAGTGTAGTACATCCACTTTATGGCGGCTAGAGTTCAGCAACTCTTGGGGTAGTTTTGGTTCAGGTGCAAATCAGTGGATAGATTAAGAATATTTTGGCGACTTAATTGGAGGGATCGGATGGCAGAGTGAGAGGACAGTGGAAGGGTTATGGATTCTAATCAGGTGTGGGAGTGAAAAGATAGGTAGCGATTTAAGCAATGGAAGAAGGAGAAGAATTGAGAGAGA